GACCACTACCTACCTACCCCCCCCCCCCCCCCGGTACCCCGACGGGTTGCCTTGAGGGTGTGACTTCCCGGTATCTTTCCCAGGTTTGCACTCAGCATTCGATGTGTTCAAAGGATTTGTGCACTGCTGCTGCACGATATCTTGCTATCTCTGCATGGAGAACCGAAACCTGCGGCAATGGTCACCCTTTTGCATTCACACTGTGCTCATTATGAAACTTTGCGCAAGGCTTACCAGACAGCACCACCATCCTCAGATTCATTCTGGGGAAGAATGACAGGGCTGAAGATGGAATGCAGGCCGCTGTGCCGATGAAATCTCTCAAACTAAAACAGTCCCGCTCAGCACAGTTGCCATGCGGCCCCGGGATAGGCCGTGGACGCGAATGCTGTGGCGCAGGAACTCGGATCTGCCACATAGCAGAGCCTGATGGGCAGCAGGAAGCCGCTGTCTACCCGCTGCCCACAGCCAGGCTGATTTGTGTTCACGCTCCCGCTCTGCCCTGTCGCAGAGCATGCGCACCCGGCAAAAGGGGTGGACGTAGGGGTTGGTAGTAGGGATGTGCCGCCAAGGAACGGCCTGGACAATGGAGGGGTGGAGGGAGGTGGGTCAGATTCTGAACAAGGGACATTGTGCTGCACAGTCATTGAGCTGTGTAGAATAAAATGGCATACAGAACATGAAAGGATCCCATAGTTACAGCAAGGCCTACATGACAAATGGGCTGGGACTTGGGCTTGGTGAAGGGCTGGGGCTGGGGCTGGGGCTGGGGCTGGGGCTGGGGCTGGGGGATGGGCTGGGAGAAGGACTAGGGCTTGGACTGGGAGACGGACTGGGGCTGGGAGACGGGCTGGGAGACGGGCTGGGGCTGGGGGACGGGGTGGGTGAAGGGCTGGGAGATGGACTGGGAGATGGACTGGGACTGGGACTGGGACCGGGAGACGGACTGGGACTGGGACTAGGGCTTGGACTCGGGGAGGGGCTGGGGCTGGGGCTGGGACTTGGAGTCACGGTGGGCGGCAGCACAGGCTCCAGCTCCGGAGGTGGTGCCGTTTCCCCGAGACCAGGGAAGCCACTGAGCATGTGAAGCACACCCTCCGTTGCCAAGAGGTCTGCAAGGACGATGGTGGCGCCTCCTACCGCCACATTCCCTGAGGTGGGCGTCCGAGAAGTGCTTTATATGACACCTCGATCGATAAATGGGACTACTGCTCTTGCATACGCTGTGCCAGAGACCAGGAACTGAGTCAGGCATGCGCGCATCGGGCCAGATTCACACCCCTTTCTTCTGGGAGACCTATATTCTATCCAGACCACTATCTACCCCCCCACTCCCGGGGACGAGTGCAAGGAGGGTTGTTGCCTTTGAGGGTGAAACTTCCCGGTATCTTTCCCAGGTTTGCACTCAGCATTCGATGTGTTCAAAGGATTTGTGCACTGCTGCTGCACGATATCTGCCGCTTCGTCGATGAGCGGGCGGATGTACTCCAGGTCGGGCGGCTGAAGGGTGACGCCAGCCCGCTCGAGCGTCTCCCGGAAGAGGGCGACGGACTCGGCCAGTGGCGCGAACGCCGCCTTCGCCCCAGTGCCTGCGTTTCTGCTGGCTGCCTTGCGAGGTCGCCAAATGAGCGCCAGGCATCTGCGCCGTGGTTGTAACGGGTGGGTGGGTCGAAAGGGTGGCTGGTTATTCGGCACCTGCTCTGCGGCGCATGCCGCTGCACTCCATCCGCGGCAATGTGTTACAGACAGCTGCAAGCGTTCCTGATCCAACCAGCACACGCCACATGCAGACATGGGACCCTATCAAGCAAGGAAACCAGGCACCTGTCTGCCTACAAGATAAGCCCACCCACATCCCACCCCCAACACACAGGAGACCCACCTGCTAAAAAAATTCCTGTCAAATGGCTGCAGCGCCGCATCCGCGTCCGCCCGGCCAGCCTGCTTCCGTCGCTCGAACTCCTCCACCATGCGGATGGCGTGGAAGGTGGCGAAGAGGTCGCCGACGGTGCGCAACTCGGAGATGACCGCAACGACGTCGTCCACGGTCGAACGCAGCGCATCCAGCACAGGCTGCTGCTGCTGCTGCTGCTGCCCCTTCTTCTTCTTCTTCTTCTCCTTCTTCTTCTTCTTCTTCTTGGAGAGGTCCCGGAAGCCATTCCATGTTGTCTTGATTGAGGTTGTGGTGTAGTCACCGAGCACCTACAGTTTGTTATAGTGCGGGTGCAGGGTGTTGATAGGTGTGTGTGTCTGGGTGTCTCGATCACAAGAGCCACTCATGCTTGGAGACGCTCCAGTGCCCCCCCTGGAGCCCCCCTTCCAAAGTGGCACACCAAGTCCTCACACACCTTCCCGTATCGGCCTTTCGTGCCCGCCTCGCCTGGCGCCGTCCGCCACTCGTTCACCGTGGCATCATTTTGCCACTGTTGATCCCTCTTCTCCGCATCGTCCAGCTTGTTGACCACGCCGAGTGGCACAGGGGGCGTCTGAGAGTCCTGCGACACAGGGCGAAGAAACACGGGGTGGGATGTGTGTATTCGCCTATGATTTGCAGATACCAACTTTAAGAATCACATCCTCACCCCGCCACAGCCATGCCTGTCGCACACCAATCAAATAAACCCAACTCAGTCCACCCAACACAATCACCTGGCC